CAAGTAGTATGGGGTGTAGTTATGGGGTTCACCCCGTTTGCCGTTCATCACACACAATGTATGCAATAAAAGAAAGCGGATTGAGTTATGCCTGGGTTAAGAAACTTGCAAGGGATTGTCTTGATTAATAATGCGTTTATAATCGAACTTTTTTTATTACACGAAATTGAATACAGTAAAAGGGGTAAACCCCATGATCCGAAGATATACTGTAAGTGGNTTAATTCTGCGTTTTAAAACATGGATGTTGTACGTTGGAGAGAAGACCGAAAGGGGAAGAGTGTTCCACAATTGTGCTGGTCTTGGGAAAAATATGATTGAAAGTTGGAGATGCGACATCTGGGAATAATCACTTGAAATGGGTGGCTAGCCGCTTGTGTGCGGGATCCACGACGAAGAGCAAGTGGGAGAGGGACAAAAGCGGAAAGTGCATCAGAGAAAAATCCAAAGTAGTACCGATAGAACAAGAATAAAGAAGCGACTGCCCGACAGTGAGCTAATGACTGCAAGTTGGATGTTAGGGACGGATCGTTGATGAGACGGATGGCCTTACTTTGAACCCGATCAAGAAGAGAGAGATAGAAGAAGCTCCACTCCACACATGACCGCAGTATTCAAGTGTAGGGTGAATCTGAGCTTTGTAAAGCGAGAGGAGGTGAATGGGGGTGAAGAAACGTCTGGCGCGGAAGAAGAAACCAATTTTGCGCGCATCGCGGGAAACAAGCAGACAAATATAAGGTGACTATAAAAGAGAAGAAGATAAAGAAAGACCCAATAGTTTGCATGATTCTGTGGAACGAACAGTGTTCGAGTTGAACTTCAAGGAAGGGGAGAAAATGCTTGTTTAAAAGAAATGGACATAAGGGAAGCTTTACTGTCATCAATCAGAACACGGCTGCTACAGCCCCAATCAGAGATAAGGCCCAGATCAGAATTTAGGGAGAAACTAAGGGAGGAGCGGTCGTCAGTGATGCTGGAGTTAGCGATGCGCGAAGAGGAATAGGACAGAGAAGAGTTTAGAGTAGCGTTATCGGCAAAGGCGTGAATAGGATTTGAAGTTGAAGAAAGAAGGTGATCAATAAATGTCAGAAACTTGGGGAACACCAGCATTCACAGACACGGAACGAGACATGGTTCCATCTACTCTGACGGAGATGCTGCGGTCCTTGAGGTAGCTTGCTGTCCAGGACACAAGTTCCGAAGGAAAGCCAAACTTGGGTAGTTTAGCCAGCAAACCAGCGTGCCAGACACGATCGAAAGCTTTCGATATATGCAATGACACCGCATGTGTTTCCCCTTGGTTGTCGAGTGCCGCTGACCATGTATGCGGAATGAGCGCCAGAAGATCACCGGTAGATCGATGTGATCGGAAACCGTACTGGCGGTCGCTAAGCATATTGTCTTGCTTCAGGTGGTGGCGGAGTTGATCAGCAACAACTGATTCTATAATCTTCGAAGTGATTGGTGTGAGAGAGAGAGAGATAAGGCAGTAGTTGTTTGGGTCAGAGTAGTCGTCGCGTTTGGGGATGGGAAATATTTCTGATATTCTCCATGCGGTTGGGAATATCTCGGAATCTAGAGATAGACGGAATAAGCGACGTAGAAGGGAAGCCAGTTCTGGGGTGCACAATTTGAAGACAATGGGAGGAATCCCGTCGGGTCCAGGTGGCTTGTGTTGGTCCGGCGACAAGAGGATCTGACGTATTTTTCTGCTGGAAATGAGCGATGTGTGTAGGGTTGGATGGATGATTAGAAGAGCGTAGAATTGGAAGCGAAATGGGAAGCAACCATGTCTGCTTTTTCCAACGGATCGGATGCTAAATCACCAGATGGTTTAACAATGGGTGGGGAGTTAGTGAAACACAAGTGATCAGAACGGACGGAGCGGTCGCCAATTGTGCTGCTTTGCGCTCAATAAAGTGCTCTTTAGCCTTCTGTATGATGGTTGTACATTTGTTACGTGCTAACAAGAACCAGCGGTGGGAGCTGGGGGAAGGTGACTGACGCCAGCGGCGGAACGCTGATTTCTTTTTACGAACAGCGCGATAACAGGCGTGGTTGAACCATTCTGGAGAAAGGCTTGCCGGGTTTAGTGAAATGAGAAATACATAGGTTCATGCCTTGCAAAAGAACGACAAAAATCTTTATAAAAAGAGAAAGCTCTATAATTAATTAGTTGAGGGTGCGATACTATTACTATGTTGCCAAGGCCAAAGCAGGCTAATTTTCTTGGGGAATTCACAACCTAGGCCTTCGACTAGCCGAAGTCTGATCCGCAAGGCAGTGGGCTGGTAGTGAAAACTGCAATCCCCTGGGGGCCGGTGTCCAGTTCATCGAATCCTGCACCCTTTGGATTGGTTCAAGCGTCCAAGGTGCCCAATCGAGGCGGTGACCACTACCACAGCCACGGTATGTGTAGCTTTTACATCTCTGTTTGGTTGTTTTGGAATCAGGGATAAGCCGTTTTTCCCGTTATTATTTGTAGTTTGTAGGTTATTGGAAAGCGGAAGTATCAAGCATTCTCACTTCCTACCAGTGTAGCGGATAATGAGGGAAACCTTTACACGTGTGACGGATTACTGATCTATCGCCATCAAAATTGGTGGGGTAAAACAAGAGCCCACTGGAAGGAACGGAGTTTGTGTTAATGATGACGAAACCATATTGGGCATACTACGAGCAGTCAGTGGATTTCGAATTTTTGATAAAATTTTGAAGGTAGCATTCCGAATTGCGTGAATTATGTAGCGTTAGAGACCGTCGTAATGGGGAAGAGAGGATATTGATACATATGATCTCTCTAAGGTAGAATATGGGCTTTTGAAAAGCCGAATTCTAGACAAAGTAGGAAAGCAATTACGCGCACTGAGCAAGCATACCATTATGGGATAGCCGGGAAAGCAAACAATAATAAGTAAATCTATCACATTAGTCAATTTACGTAGTACAACCTATAGTATTGATTTGGCTTATGTTCGTGGTGTCCCTTTCCTTTGTAGGTCGTGGAGCGTCGTTGACCTCTTGGGATCACTTTTTCGGTAGCTTTCGACAGTATCTGGATCATATGCGACAACCTGTGTCTCAACCAGTACCCAAAACTTCCTACCGTATGACTCTCCCATCTGTGACCAATCAACTCTATCCGCACCTGTATCAGAGCTCGGTACATTTGCATTCTGGTCGACTTCCCGCATCGAATACGACCATGGATATGCAAACACTGCCGGGGACGGGGACAGGTTTACTCAACTCCGGTGCCTGGGCAAGTAGTCATGCGACCGCCCCAGCAATCCTTCCTCGAGCAATTCAGCCAGAGGAACAGCAAGGTTTACAAGCTGTTCTTCGCTTGATCTCCCGAATCGCACGAATGGTACGTTTGACTGAGTCTTGTTGGCTTCCGCCCAAGTTATGTTCTAACGGAGTTCGATAGCCTACCATTCTGATATCTGTTCTAATTTACTTGGCACAGGACCCAGTGGCTCGTTCCCTGTTTGCTGGTACTACTCACTGGCATGTGATACCAACTTGCATCGGTCTTTTGGGTTGCCCAATCTCCTTGGGTCTCAAAGCCGATTTACTTCATCTATTGACTGCACTCTCGAGAACAGCTACAGTCGGGGCTTTAATCTGGCGACACATTTCGATGTCCGAGGTGAGTTGATTTGTGTTGCATCCTCTCTTCTGCTCGTGCGATTCATATTAGGCCTTTGAAGCCGACTGATGGTGATAGAGTATAAGCCTGTGGGTTCACGTGTGTGCGTGTGCCAATCACGCTAACACGAACCACTCGTCCTGCGAGTGACAGGAGATGACGAAAATAAACACTGTGTGAGTTGGCCCTAAACCGATACCCTTACATGAAACTGACTGGCACCTCGGGGGGGGGGGGGGGGGGGGNAGTAGCAAGTAGATTAGATCAATGTGAACAAAATAAATGTGTTTGCAAGCTGATTTCTTTTCGGCTCACAGATCAAAGTGACCGCGTGGGGTCGGGTTGCAATTTGCTCGCCTCTACCAATGGTTTCATTTCCATCTGCGTCTTGATGAAACCAGTAAATATCTGATCCGCCAGATACCTCGCTATGATTCCATGGGTCATGCTCGTGATTGCCATCGGACTTTTCGTCAATGCAAAATGTATGTGGATCACTTCTGTGAAAGGTCGCTGAGATGCCATTGTTTTCTAATCATTTTCAAATTGTCTCTAAAACCTGAGCGGAAGTGCACGCGATTACATGATCCCACATATATATGTACAAGACGTGAACCGTGTAGTACACCGCGTCTTTCCTCCGTATCTCCAATTCGGATATCTCATTGAACAATTTTAATGCCTCAATGACAAGACTAACCTTTTTGTTTTACGCTTTTGAGTGACAATCCGTTTCAGTTTTACCACGCAATTTCGTGTGGCGGTTTTGGTTACTGTCTTTTGGCTACCCATTTGGATAATGTGGTCGAAGAGAGATTGGAAAGTCGAAAGTAGATTCGAAGAGAAAATGGAGAATTCCGGCTGTTGTGCGCTTCTGAGTGATGATCGGTTAACTATATGACTGCCGTTGGTCCCAGCTTTTACTGTTTAGTCATGAGAACCGCCCTCGCTCAGGTATAAGGGTGAACAGAATAAAACCTCCAAGGAATTGGTTTTCTATTGACCCGATTTGTAGAAAAATTGTCCATCGCCATTGTCGGTTGTGATTATTGGTTTAAGACACACCAGTGACAGCGACTTGAACCGTTTGGGTACTCTCACTAATAATCAGTATTTCCAGGCAGGAAACTTGTCGTCATCTTTAGGTGTATGGCTACGAAAGTATTGCGACTAATCCGTGCAAATTGTTTTTCAAATAGTATCTTTTTTAAATTATCCACTCCCATAAAAATGACACGTACAATTTCTTACCGTCCACATTTTCCGTCATCCGTGCAGCTGTTTCCGGTGTCCGCTCAACGAACCACACAACAACCGCACACTCCCTGCGGTTTACACGTACGTTCCTTCTCTCTGCTATCACATTTTCTTTTTTTCGCATCCCAGTTTTCGGTGCTTATTCTGCACAAATTCACTTTTTGTCTTCTCTTGCAAATTATTTCGTGGTAAGCAGCTTTGCTGTCCTCCAGCCTTACGTGGTTCACCACTCCAAATCCCCGGGGCTTAGGTTACCGGATTTCCATGAATGAACAGTAGATCCTTTTGACTATGAGATTTGTCCCTTCTGCTGTTCACCATACATCTGTTTGTATATAGAACAAAAAAACGGGGAAAACAAATTAATCGCTAGACTCACATCCCTTATTAGTCCACCACTGATTGTTAACCTCTCAAACAACCACTTGACCCAAGACCGTAGGGCGTGCATGTAACACTGTTGGCTTCCGTGTTTGATCGAGGGTTGTCTATTCAAAATACTTGAAATGCATAGATTTTCTTATTAAATACTACAATGTGACAAACAATAAATGGCCTAAATCCCACGGTTACGTATTGTGTTCACAGTCTGACCGTAAGTTTGACACTAGCGCCCCCAACAACAAGAACAACAACAACGCAGAGAAACAACAGTCAGAGTGTAATTAATGACAAAGGTCCGATACTGAAATATATATAGGGTAAATTAAACATACGAGAACGGCACTGTTGCATCAATCAGATTGCGTCTTTGACATTCCGATTGATCGATCGGAACACCGCTGGTTAATTCGATTTCCGATCATCCCATCCGGACTCAGTCTGCCTGATGCATGGCGAGCGTGCTTGTGTCTTGACGTGGATGCCTGCGCGACCTGACCGGTTGTTTGAGATCCGTCCCAACGTCACAGGGACCTACCTTTCAATCATGATAACTGGAAACCCAACCTCTGGGACATGGGCTGACGAACCACACCAGCCCCAAATGGGACGTGGTCTGGCCTGGAGCAAAGCTGTCTGCCACCAAATATGGACTCTCGGGGCCTGAGGCATGTCGGTGACAGTAACTGAAACCATTTAATTACCACTCCCAATTTGTAGTGTTTCATTTTATTCTCTTCATGGTAGACAAATGAGTAACAAAACCAATCCTCGTTAGAGAACAAGCACATGTAATTTTCTCAGCGTTTTCTGCCTGTTCCTGGTTCCCATACTAGACCTCTATTCTTTCTTACAGCCATATTTTTGTATCCGATTCAGAGAATGACGGAACCAATTTCGCCGCTCTTTGCTTAGCTCACCTATACTGAAACCGAACATGGCCGGTCATCTTGACGCCCACTCCGTCAGGTGCACTTAACTTGCACCTCTTCCGAAAACGCATTATTCTGTTTTCCTTTCCATTCTCTACTTCTATATGTGATCTTACAGACTGAGATGGATGAAGTTGAACCGAGGGCCGAGGAATACCCGATCACCCGGGCTTTTCTCGCCCTGACCACAGTGTTCATGCCTCAGTTGACCGGAACAGTGGCGGATAATGGCATCAACGCTGTTCCACTCGGTCGTTCAATGGTACCAGATGGAACCCTGTTACCTTCAGATGACAGTTTGCTATCGCAGTCCAACTCACTGATCTCAGTGATTACGTTCCTGACCAATTCCGTATTTTTGAAGCACAACATGCGTGCTTATCGGGATCCAAATGAACGGGTAAGTTATACCGTCAGTTTGATTCAGTATTATGCTTCAGATGGTTCCCTACCTAATAACCGGTGAAGTTTATCTTTCGGGCGAGCGTTGTTGAATCGGTTCAGTGGCATCGCTACTATTTGCTGCATGTGTGCACACTAGACCACCTTCAACGAACTCCTTTGTTTTCTATATTCTTCCAGGCAGTGTTAACTTGGTCACAATCTCTTCTTGAAAATTATCTATTCAATTACTGAAAAGAGGGTAACATTTGTTTATTACTGTTGTTGTCAACTGGTTCGATGCATCACCCAGACGATGTTCAGTTTGGTGGTGCGCGTGCCCGTCCAAGGGAAAGATGGTAACTACATACCTGTCTGCTTATTCTGGGTTAGCGTAAACATTTGGTGTTGTAACGTTGGGGTGGACGATATGACTGGACTAGCACGAGCTGTGACCCAACGATACGTGCGGCACTGATGACCACGATGGGAACCGTACGATCCAGCGGAATAGTCCACAGTCCATGGTGCTCCCCTCTGCGGTACCCAAAGCAAGTCCCAACAGGACCGGAAGGAAACACCCCGAGAAAGCAGTACGATCTCCAAACCCGACCAGAGAGAACACGGAAGACAGGCCTTCGGGCGAGGTTGTTTAGTTCGCTCGACCGTAAAGGCGAAGATAGCCGACAACTCGTCTGTTTATATACAATTTGCAGATCGGCCACCAATGACCTTGGAAAATAGCTCGAAGGTAGTGAGACATGGAAAAATAAACCAATGGGGGTCAAATATGGCCAAGGGTGCGGTATGAGTCCTTTTTGGCGCAAAAATCCGGAAACTCAAATTTTATAAAAATAAATAGAAAGATAGAGGGGAAAGTTGCTTTTATAGGGGGAAACGGTCTTTACCCTATCATGTAGAGGACGCTGTTCGGGACGTTCAACTTGCTTGGTAAAATGCGCACTCGTCAAACGAAATTTAACAGTCTCTGTCAAACTGTTTATACAAACAATAGGCTGACGTCACATCCACAGTCGTAATGAGAATTTCCAATGATACCTTTGATCGATAAGTTCATTGGTGTTCGTTGATGTTCTAAACAGTTGCTGCATCTCTCCTCGCAGACGACGAATCGGGTCAAGTTCAGGCTCACCTTCAGCGTCGCCGCCGCCGCGACATTCAATTGTCCGCTAAGGTTCGAGTGTCTGCGACAACAGTTCGGTCATATAGTATACAGATGGAGTCATTACGAGAGGGATGTAAACACCGAACACCGCTCTCCACGCCACATTGCACGACTCTTGTGGTACAACTGTACAGGAAATGCCGTGGTTAGGCGAAGGGTGACAGATAATCACCATCATTCACTGATGCAAATGTTTGATACTTATAGATTATGGGTTGTTTCACGCACGACACCGGATCGGCTGTTTCGTCGTACCAAACTTGGCGGGAATAGAGTAGTAAGTGGAAGTAAACCTAAGGTGATCAAACGAAAATCTGACACGAGTTCATAAAGGCCTGTGAGACCGACTCATTCACACAGTGGTTTTGAGATTTCAGGTTCCGGACTTCATGAACAATGTAATCACGGGGTTAGAATCAGTGAGTGTGGAAACTAGTGACACTCGCGCATTTGCACTGGCAGATCAGAGGACTAACACTGCGAGAGAAATTCCCTTAGTATACTCTCAATAGTTGCACTGTTTATTTTCTGACTTGCTTGTTCAAATGGAATACGGGATCTAACTGTTTCAGTTTTTTTGAAAAAAAGACTCGTGCATTTGTTCACTTTTCATATGGATCCAGTTTACTTTATGTGTCTCTAATTTAATAGTACTGTTATCTTTAAGCTGTTTCATCTATTCTTTCCCCCTTTTAGTAGACTAGTTGGGCAGCCGAGAGTCCGCAATAGTCGAATCACAGTGCAAAATCAGCCTAGGACATTTTGTACGATTTAGCAAAGAGAGAAAACGCTACCAGAGAGGCCAACTGCCCACTGATCTCATCTCATAACCGAAGTCCTTTTTTCATGGGGCCATCATTCAAGACCTCTGTGAGATAGACTAAACAAAAGTAAATCTTTAGAATTGTGGCGGGAGGGGGTTTACTTTTAAGTATCTCTGTGCCCCGATAATAGCTCTTGACCGACGTCTTTTCATGTCATTTGATAGGTACCATTCGGCTGGCAGTTGCTTTTGAAAGCCCTGCGTCTCTGGGTTTGAGTAACTAGGCATCGCTGGTGATTTGTACCTTGCTAGGCGTAACAGCCATGTCCTTCCAAAACGTTTCAAAAGTTGTGTAGCACATTGACCCTGCATGATGACTGCATGTGTTTTGAATATTTTAGTTACAGAGTGTAGTCTGTCAACTCTTAGAACAGGGACAACTTATATCTNCTTATATCTGATAATGTTTAAAAGCCACAGTTGCGTCGCCGTCGCTGAAGTCATGAGATTTCGTCCAAGTTGAAGGTTTTTGTCCAATTAAAACTACAGAATATATTGGTCTCCAGAATAGCACCATATATGCTCCTCATCATGTTAAAAATGTATTGCCTGATATCTCTCGCCTCCGCGTTACTTACCCCTCTGATCCTAACTCTTGCCTACCAATCATCAATGCTTCCAGTGGGATATCGCGGCCGCTTGTTTGGTCTTATTTGATGGTTGTGTGGAACAGTTCCTCAATCGTTTGGATGCAGCCGCGTCAGTGGTTTTGAACACCCCAGTTTCCGGCTCCAAACTCACCACTGACGCATCCGGCCCCGGTTCACGATTCGACGAAACCACTCACTCCTTTGATTGGGCTTCTGCCTTGCTGTCCGGTGTGACTGAAGTAGACACAGAACCGGCTACTACTCAATCTCGACTTCGTTCTCAGCCGTCTTCCGTATCGTCAACCTCGTCGACTGCTGCATTGTTAAGTCAATTGCGTCTTCCCCCTGGTTGGCCCTATAGCGATCCAGGTTTTTATTTGGCCGTTCAACTGCTTTCGGATTCTGCCCTGTTTCGCACGGTACGTCATACGTTATTTCACTTTTTTAATGCGGATTTACGTGTTCTTCCAGTCTTTCCTTTGTCCATCACTTCCACTTCTCGACGACGATTTAGCTCCCTTTCCATAATGTACTCACTAATCTGATTTCTGTTGTTTTTTTCACTGGGTTCAGCTTACCGGTCTCTTGGAAGTTGGTCTGCACCGGATGTTGGAATTTCCCATCCCAGACGGTCCTCCTGTTGGAATGGTACACGCAACCGGAGCAGGTATACGCCTGATTCGCCGTTTGTTAGCACAAGAAGAAATACTTTACACGTTTGTGCGCAGGACAACTGTCAATCCTTCGTGAGTGGATTTATCTGCATATGAGTCTTTTTGATTGAACCATCGTGGTTGACTTTGTGGAACTAATTTGGGTTTATCAAAAGCCTCCGTGGAATATTGATGCATTCTTTCAGTCACCGCAGTCGCGTCCGTAAATAAGCGTCATGATATAGTGTTTTGGTAATCCCGTCGAATACCCTTTCGTGAATGAAGCCAGATGAATGAAAACCGACTCCTTCCAATACATACCTATCTGTCATTTGTCCACTATAACGGGTATTAGGCGAGCGCGATTGGTTATTGGACAAATGAATATGAGAGCAATAAGTCACCTGACTTTTCTGGACTGCGTCAGTGTCTTTCGTGACTCACAACATCTGTCGGTCAATCCCCCCTGCGCTAAGTTTAGAGCTGTGCCAATACGAAATAAACGGTTATTTGAATGCTGCAAGCAATCAGGGTCATCACTTTTATGATAATTTGACCACTATTTATTGTTTACCCCTAAAACTGGCTATTCTCCATGTGAGATGCATACTCGGATCAATAATAAGCAATGTATGTGCGTCTGTATTCAAAAGTAACATGTTATTGCTCTTGATTTGTTGTTTCTCGCTCAAGGCGCAGTTGCAAGTTAATCTGATTTAGGCATTCAGTTGCCACTAAATAATCTCAGTAAACACCTCGTTTCGTTTGTCAAATTCTCAAATCCGAACACAGTCTGTCGCCCTTCACCCGCTTAGATTGTCTTTCCTCTGGTTATCATACTTGACCATTTTCTCTTTACCTTTTACCGTTTCTCGTCAGCTTCGGTTCACTAAACCGATCAAGCTCATTTGTCCTACCCGGTGCGTCTGGTCTGAACGCAACTGTACTCAACCTGTCTGTCCCGACTGTTGTTGTCCATCAATGCACGCACCGGGCGCGCGGATCTGCTTTCCACGCTGTTACGGTAAGTCCTATGCAATGCAGACCAAGTACGCTTGTACTCGCGCACATTCGGTAAGCACCCCTGCTGGAGTTTGTCAAGCATGCGCAATTGGTTTTCACTCACAACGTCACGTATCATTTCTACTCTACATTGCAGTCGTGAGCCATACATTCGTGGAGCGTTTCGCTATTAGGCACTAAGCTTCCAGTTAATTTTTACTTTGAATTTACCGGATTTGATCAGACTCACTTGTTTACACAAGCTAAAGCGTTTGGAAGCGATCAGCGAAGTTTTCTCTCTACTGTTCTTCCTTATGCGATACACTTGAAATATTGTCTTCATCACCATTAAACTTGACGGAGCATGGAACTTTACTTTTTCACGTGAAAACGATAATTGTGGGAGGGCCTGATCAACTCTTTTGGTTCACATGTTATTCTTTGGCCCCATCTGTACTGCTTTCCGCTTTTCGACGAGGAATTACCGGATCATTGCGCTTACGTAATGGATATTTTGCAATCGTTGGTGTCCCGCGTCCGTCCTCACTCGGATCTGCTCGCTGTTCTCACTGCGGACGAGGTGGGTTCGACCATGTCACATGGTTTTTCTACGCGAATATTGTTGATACTGCCTTACAGTTTCTTTTCTTCCTTCGATTACTTGCTTCATACTCATTAGGTGACAAATTTCCATGTTACCATGTCATGCTTTTCTGGCACTCACCGAGTGTTTGATGCTGTAGCTTACTACCATGTAAAATCAGCACTTTGTATTGACCGGAATTCGCCCACGTTCACCGTAATCGCTAGTTTGCTTTTGTAAAGTCCCTATGCCGACCTACTTTACTTTATTACAGCTGGCTCCTTGACAGGATTGTAAGCTCGCTTCACGAATAACCAACAAGTTTTGTGGCGCCAGAAACGTCCCCGGCATCACTCGGCTTTTTCATTCTAAAGGTTTAGCTCTAGCCTTTGCACAACCCAATATGAAGTGTAAGGCAGCAATGTGCGGATGCATGGTTGCTAATGACGCACTAGGAGCTCATTGAACTAAAGTGGATTACGCTCAGCGATCGGTCCATCTCTGCTGGGTCCACAGATTTCCTTGATGGTCATTGGACCAGTCAGTAGATCTCATCCGTCTACTCAGAAGCAGCTGTCTTCGCACACCGTACGCTGTCTCATCGAGGTTTCGGGTCGGGATTTCCTTCAACATAGTTTAACTCTTCTATCTAACCTTTTACCGCATGTGCATAACGCGTGATCTTGTGTCCACACGAGAATATGAAGTAAGTGATGGAGACCAGAGGTGGACGATACCTCAGGTATACGATACTGTCAGACTCAGACTAGTGTGACATTTTGAAGTTTGCGTTGTACCATAGACACTTCCGTGCGCTGTTACTTGGTCAGGGTTCCCTAGAGC